AAAAAAAAAAACTTTTGTAGGTAGATGTGCTAGGATGGGCTTTTAGTTGACAAAGGTAGTTATTAGCTTTCAAGATTTTTTTTTTTAAATTAAGATATGTTGATTAATGTTGCTGCAAATTTTTGTATCACTATTTGATGAGATTCTTACATTAACATGCAATTTTATGGTGCAAGAACAATTATCCCTCCATCCCATAAATATTTATGCTGGCTCTCATATTTCAAACCTAGCATTTTCCTGGGCAAATAAGGAATTATCACATCTATGATAATTAGCTAATAATTTGCATAATTTTTATATCAATAACTTTATTATCAATGTGTGTGCATGTATGTGTGTGTATGTGTGTGTGCTTGCATGTGTGTCTTCATCTGTCTGTTTCAATGTATAACAAATTAAAAAAATGTGTCACTTCCTCATCACAATCGCCCTTCATCATATCTACAATTTGCAACCGAGAGAACTATTAAAATTTGACACTTTCATTTACTCCGGGGCTCTGATTTTATTATCTCTCTTTAAAACAAAACAAAAAAATATCAAATTCTCATTGGGATATCCCCCTTCCATCATATTCTGTACTAATAATAATTCCAATCTTGTTTAATATAATTTTTTTTAATCCTTTAAATAAGGGATTATCTCCCCTTATCTTGATAATTCTATGACCAGACCAAACTATACAAGTAATGCAGACTGCAATCAGCCCATGTCACACTGTTGACTTGTATCACTTGTACATGTATTTTCAGATGTTTAAATTAGTTCCATTCTGATACATGTAACTGGAAATCAGAATACTTTCTTCACCCTGGGATCAGCCTAGCTACATAATCTTGTATCAATCCAAAATACATCCTAATGCAATCAGATCAGACTAGTACAGATTCTACTTAATCTGGGATCAGCCTAAATACACTCTGAGGTTGGGATAAGCCTAGAACAAATGCTATTTAATCTGTGATCAAACCAAAATACACTCTGATACGGGGATCAGCCTGAGCACATTCTATTTAATTTAGAATCAGCCAAAAATATATTCTAATGTGTGGATTAGACTAGTGGAGATCTTTTGTTAATCTGGGATCAACATTTAATATATTCTAATGATGAGATCAGCCTACCACAGACTAAGAATCATTATTATCACATCCCGTTTCAAGCAGCAGATTACCTAATGATAGCCACATTTTTATTTGTTTATAAAGTGAAATTGTTATTATTGTCACATTATATATTTTTCATGACTGAATAAAGATGTGTAGCATGAATGGAGAGAAAGAGAGAGAGAGAGAGAGAGAGAGAGAGAGAGAGAGAGAGAGAGAGAGAGAGAGAGAGAGCAAAATAATAATATGCTTTGTATCTTTTCTAAAATTGATTTACACATTTTATAAGCCAGCTATCTGGGGCATTCAAACTGGAAAACTGAACTTGTATTTGGGATATCTGAATAAAAATAATAAGTTAAAATAATAATCATTTAATGTAATTCCTTTCATCTCTATCCAAACACCAAAGAAAATATCAGACTCTCAAAAACAATGATAGTGAGATGTTTTAAAATTATTTATAAGCATAACTGAATTGGTGAGCAAATATTTAATTCATTACTTTATAGCTATTATCCAGTCACATTGAAATCACAGCAACATTTATCCAAATATTTGACATGTAGATATTGATATTGACTTATTATAGACTTGATATTGACTTATAGACTATTGATATTGACTTATTGTAGACTTGATATTGACTTGGAGACTATTGATATTGACTTATTATAGACTTGATATTGACTTGGAGACTATTGATATTGACTTATTTTAATCTATTGAAATATTTATCAAGCAGTAAGCATATAAAATATAAAGCTGAGTACAGTTATTTTGTCTAAATCAGCAAATACTGAATGTTCCAAACTGATCATAAATCCACAGAAAATGAAGGTTTAGTATGCATATACATTTAATTTAAAATACTGTGAATCATTTTTTATATAAAAAGGCATAATTTGTGATTCCAGGCGAGACATATTTTAAAGAAAATAGAAACATGAATAAACTGTAATGGGCTGACATTAAAGCAAAACATAATTTCTGGTGATATTGGTGACTCATAGACTTAAAAACATTTTTTCCTCATTTTCAGTGTTATGTTTATAACTTCAAAAAACTTTAGTTTAAATTCATGTTATGCCCTTAGCTAAGTATGTACTCAGTTTAGTGACTGAAGGAATCCATTATTATTGTTTGTTTGTTTGTTGTTGGGCTTAACGCCATTTTTCAGCACACGATAGGCTATTCATGGCGGCCAGTATTAATGGTGGAGGAAGAAACCGGGAAATCACCGGAAAGAACAACCGACCCACGAGAAGCTACTGGCAAGCTTTCTCACATATCTACATTAGCCGAATCCTAGAATCCTAGACTCGAACACACCAAACGCAGACAGAGGTGAGATGGCAGTGATCCGTAACGGACATCGCTTTAGACCACTCGGCCACTCAGGGCCCCCATTATTATTGAGTCACACATCAACTTAATCACATTAGTACTCTTCTTTTGAGTCCTGCAGCATAGTTCTTTTTGTCTGTCCCTCTTTTTACCTCTATATTTTGAGTGAAGCACACTACTGCTTAATGCTGAGCGACAGCATGACCTATAATATTAAAAGAGGTAACAAGACCTTTTTTTCTACTAAAGTGTTAACATGTCATCCCTTTACATATTTGTGTGTGTGTGTGTGTGTGTGTCAAATTTCTGATAACTGTGTCAAAAAAAACCTGCATGTACCAGTGGAAAAGGAACTAAAAATTCAATTTTTTTACCAAACAGGTGTTCTACCCAAGAACTAAGAGGGATTGGGAATCAAGCTAAGAATTTAAATATTCTTCATTTTGAAGAAAATGCAATGGAACAAGCCATTTTAATAATTTTTTGTATAAATAAAGATTATATAAAAGAAGAAGCCATTCACACATAAATGAATTTGTAACATGTAAATTTGTGGTTTTAAATGCATAATGTATTCAGTGTTCTGTGGTCTGGAAAAAGACATAATTTGATTTTAATAACATGCATGTACCTGACACCTTACACAAACGCTTTGTCTGCGGGATCATGTTTCTTTCACCTAAACTTTAAAATAGTAAAAAAATTATTAATATTATATAATCAGACAATTACAGTCTATAAAATGCTGGTTCATGTGTAACTAAAATGTCATTTTAACATTTTGTGCAGTGAATCAATACATTATTTGCATCATGTATTCTACAATGCATAAAGTGTCAACAATGGAAGACAGAAAGGTACAGTTCATGTCTATAGCATTTTATACCTTTGATCACTGATGTTTTTACACTATAATACTGGGAGATCCCCAGCTTGTTGGTTTACCCTCCATCAAACATATTTTAAGAGTCACTTTATGCACATAGGGTGTGGGTTTTTTTCGAATTTCACTCCGATTTAAACTGGGATCAAAAGGCTGCATAAAAAGTGTTATAATACAGATTGTGCAGTATATTATAGCTCAAGCATTGCAAATTTAGGCCCATAAATATTTACAGCTGTTTTTCTTGCCTCAACAAGCTTTGCCTTTGCATTGTATATCAGGTTTATAAATTAAAAAAATAAATTAGACAAATGTTGGGTCCTACATTTAAAACATTTCAAAACTTAGAGCACAGCTGTGGAAAGATCTATATATCTTCAAAAAGTAGGTCACTGTTACAGTAAGACCCATACATTTTTAAAAAGTAAGACGGTGCTGCAGTAAGACCCATATATTTTACAAAAGTAGGCCACTGCGATGACAAGATCCTTACATTTTCAAAACATAGAGCACTGCTATAGCAAGACCCATACATTTAAAAAAAGTAGGGCACTGCTATGGCAAGACCCATACATTTTCAAAAATTAGGGCACTGCTAAGTCAAGACCCATACATTTTTTTAAAAAAGTAGGGCACTGCTATGGCAAGACCCATACAGTTTGTATTGCTCATTTAAATATCATGGCTTGTAACTAGGATATAAATATGGCAAAATTATGGTCCAGGAATGACCATTATAAATTTTTAATTGAATGTTCAAATGCTGGGCATTAATTTGGTTCTTCTTTTTCATAACAAATGGTGACCATGCTGGAGTTCTAATCAAAACCACTTTACTGAAAACCTTATGCAAAGGTGCTAAATCTAAGAAAAATGCGTCATTTGCATGAACATTTTCAGAGAAAATACAAAATTTCATGCACATAAAGCAACCAGATTCTTGAATCTAATCTATTATTACCTGTCCAATCCAGTTTTCGGATCCTTTGTGGCTTGTCCTTAAGTTCATTTGTAATACATAAATCAATAAATGTGCTTTAGGTACCCTAAAATTTATGCAGAATTGTTTTATGTAAACACATTAGCTACACTAATATTCATACTGAGTTATTTTATCTACACATGTACAGGTTCAATGGCTGATTAAGACACGCTTCCAGCTTTGTAATCTGTTTGCAAAATGATGAATAATGACACACTTTTAACTTACAACATATTTTAGGCTTGAATGATAACACAGAGTATTGTTATGACTCTAGTTCTTAAAATATGTAACAGAAAGTGAAACCAACAATTATTTAAGATTCAACAAACAATTAATTCTCTAAAATACAAACTGAAAATTCAAAAGGCACTTACAGTACTGTGAATTAAAATCCTCAGTCATCCTACATTTTCTTTCACAAGTCCCAAATATAGAATGTTTTTATGGAATTTCAATAGTCTTGAATGTCCTGATGCACCACAATGATACAATCCATAATATCTTTGAATGAGTTGTCAATAAGTCAAAAGTCAATTCCCAAAAATACTTTAAATAAATAATTCGTCTTGAATTACATCTGATGTCAACAACACAAATGCAAACTCTGATAACAGATTATTTGTTTATCAAATCCCCACATTTATACACATTTTCACTTGACCTATTACAAAAAAAAGTTCCAGTGGCCTAAGTGGTTTAAGCGCATCTGCCTCAGATGTGGAAGGTCATGGGTTCAAACCCCTGATGAGTCATACCAAAGACTTATAAAAATGGTACTAACAACTGCCTCGCTTGGTGCTCAGCATTAAGAGGCTGGTGTCAGGACTGTCCAGCCTGGTGTCAGGATAATGTGACTGGGTGGGACATGATGCTACATGTCTGCGGCATGATACACCAGTGCTTGACATCACTAAAAACTGCTACACTGCAGACATCATAATGATATGACTGAAAAATTGTTAAAGCTATGTTAAAAATCCAACACACACACACACATACAAACACACACATATCTGTCAAGATTTCCAATGGAACATAGTCAAACTGTAAACAAGAGTGACTTTAAACTCATGTTATAAAAACATGTTTATAACTTAAAATCACTAAATCAATGACATTAACTGATACAATAGTAAGAACTATAAAATCAAACTAAGCACAAGACTGGAAAATTTAAAAAGTATTTTTGATGACTATTAATGAGATGAAAAGTAGTGAAGTTTGCTTGGGGCCGAAGAGGCTTCAGAACATTAACTCTGGTACAAAATCACACACAAGATACTTTACATCTTCAATGTGTAATATGAGATCAATGAGAAGTCTAGCAAACTTAACTCACTAGTAGGTTTTACCTGTCTAATATTATTTCAGGCCATGTAGAAATACTCTGATTGCATAGACAGGTGAAGAATGCTTGCTTATCCTTCTAAAAAACATTTCCATAACATCATAGGTGGTTCTTCCAGTAGATTCCTCCATGGTATGGAAAATGACCATGTCCATAAACAAACCCGAAGAGCTGAAATGAATACAAAATTTTCCTATTCAGATATTTTCATGGCATGTACTTGGATATAATCTGAATATTCACTTCTGTTAATCAAGCTGAAGTGATACTACTGTGAACTCTGTCATCTAAATCTAATTAGGAGTCTTGAGTAAATTTATGGGGGAGATTTTAGATATAATTAAATGAATATAGATGTTATTTTCAGTTTGTATTCAAAATGAGCATGACTTAATAACTGCAATTAATGCTTCAGAGAGAGAGAGAGAGAGAGAGAGAGAGAGAGAGAGAGAGAGAGAGAAAGAATTAATAAAAAGGGAAGTACTTCTTCAATTAAAAGCAGTGACTAGAAATAAATTCTAAAGTCATTTTTTTCATGAATCAATTTTCCATGCAACTTGTTGCATCATGAAAATAATTCATGCTTACAACTCAATTACTTCACAAATTTAACGTGTAAAACTCCAACTTAAATTGAATTACTGTAATGTAAGTAAATTTAAAACAAATACTAAATTTTTAGATTCAAATATTCATTCACTGTATTCAGTCAGAAACTGAATAATAATTTGTCAAAGTTAACAAAGCTTTCAAAACTAAGTTTTTCAGTCTACAGTGATATTTACTGAACACATTTATCCACTCAAAACTCTTATAATCCCTGCCAATTTATTTTGAGAGTAATGTGATGAGAGTAAAATAAATCTAATTACATTTCTGAATCAATACACATCCAACGTGCAAATCATACAGGTCACGTAGACATTCAGTATTAACTATTTCAGTAATATGGGTAATTTGTTTAAATCTAATTACACATACCTTTAAATGGCAATTATTTACTTTATTTCAATCTGGAAAGTTATCATACACACTCCAACAAATTGAGGGCAAAATCAAAGTGGACATTTTTGGATGAGCTCAACCTAAAGGCAAGATCCAGTTCAATCTGAATTGGATATCATGCACTGTGAAGATATGAGAGTTGATAAATTTATAATACCCTGTTTATGACAACTCCAGCACCATCTTTTCTTGATCCAGTTTAGTACCTGACCAACATTATAAAAGTCATGAAATTTAAGGTGCAGATCATTCAAGCTTCTGGATTTAAATGTTATAAAAAATTTGAGTTAATTACTGACCTACATGATCATACTGACAATTAATTTAAATATTTAATATAGTTTGAATTAGGCCGATAAATTAGACCAAAAAGAAAGGTCTCCGCTTTCTTTTCAGTCAGATAAATCAGCCCTTCACCCGTGATGATGTTGAATTTTTTTATTTTTTTTTTTCATAAGAGCAATCAAAGTCATGATCACTGCTACTTCAAAAGTTGCATAAAAATGTCGACAAAATTTAGCGAAATCTTAGAATATCACTTCTACCATGCTGGCCACACTTATCAAATTGAACTTCTTTTAATTTAAAATTACCTTCTTCTGAAACTTTATTTTAACTATTTGCCAAGAGCGTTTTAAAACTTCATTTCTGATTGGTTATATTATCGAATCAAAATGATACCAGATTCAAGCTCTGGCACCGATGCTCTGTACAAGATGCAGTAGACATGAGAGCGATATATATATATATATATATATATATATATATATATATATATATATATATATATATATATATATATATATATATATATATATATATATATATATATATATATAAAACAGATAGAGAACAAATAGTTTTTAATAAATTGCGATAAGGTCTTTAGCGTTTTTGGACTTTTAGAGTAAAAAGTTTATATCCTAGAGCTATCCTGCTCGTGGATTTTTCTTAAACTTTTTTTTTTTATAGATCAGACTTAATATTTTATTTCAAGCAATTTGATCGCTGGACATTACTTTTTTTTCCAAAATAAAATCACAGGTACCACTCCCCGCTTTACGAAAATAAATTTTCGGTTCCTAAATAAATTTCAGTAGTAATAAATATAATTGATATTGAAAAAAAATAGGCATTTTAATAGATTTTATGTTCTATCGAATTTGATTTTATAACCCTTTTGTATTATATAAATTTAAATTTAACATATTTTATTTAATAATTTGTAGTTGGAGATTACAAGAGGTACTATGTAGAAGGTAAAGAATTAGAACGAATGCCAGAGGCTTGTGATGTTCCTGTACGATACAAAAGTTGTAGCTACATATCAGAGGCGTAGCTATGATATTTTGCGCCCGGGGACGAACTATAAAATTGGCGCCCCAGCCCCTCCCCGTTTAATCACATTTTTCTATTTTACTTATTATAATGTAACGTTGTAAGCCTCATTTTGGCGCCCTGTACCTTGGCGCCCGGTGACATATGTACCCCCCTGCCCCACCCTAGCTACGCCTATGCTATATATAAATATGGCGGATGAGGTGAAGTTTTCATTACAAAAATTAGTTTTGTAATAGTCAAGGTGAAAAGGATCTCGATTATACATTAGTAACAGGTGAGGTATATTAATGAGAATGACGAACAATGAGGAAGTATGTGAAAGACGAAAATAAAGAAAGAAGTTAAAATTGAGAACTTGTGTCAAACATTATCTTGGAAGTTGAACAAATAGGAACAACGGGGAGTGACACAAATAAATGGATCAATAGGGTAAATAATGCAAGAATAAATATAAACAGTACTTTCTTCTAGAGCAAGATATTGCGTAGGCGATGGTGAGTCATTTGAAAACAAAAAGAAAAATTGCAGTTTGCAGTTGTTCATAGCCGAGGGAAGTGCAATAATTATAGTAGAATATGTAAATATGTACATTTTTCTAACATTTTAATAAATTTATGAACTACACCAAAAATGCGAATATTTACTTCATACTCGCTGTTACGCAACAAAGAAAATATTTCAAGATAAATTACTATACCGAGTTATTGATTGAAATATTTCGAAGCGTTGTTCTTTATAATAAATGCATGAAGTAGTGTTGTGTACTTTTGAAAGATCCTTAATACTGGTGATTTGATTATATTTTTGTAGATAAATTTTTAATAAGTAAACTGCAATTTCTTTTAAATCAAGTATGAATAATTTAAAATTTCCTTATTCCCCAATTCTAGTGTCTGGGAAGATAAGTGAGGCGAGTATTTAACGTGCTGTTAATAAACTCTATTTGACGAGACGCAATAGATAATGTATTACATTATAGAATAATAATCGAAGACATAAACGAGTTATAATAAAGATTTGTACAAACGGGAAATTGTTCTTCACATTATGTAAGTCATAGCGAGTAATTATCACTAACGACAGGTGGAATTAGTAATGAAATAGGGAGGGCTTAAACCAGCTGTCATTTTAAACAATAAAATGTGGGGGAGGGGGTCGTCTGGATTCTAGACTATCCCCTATTCTATTTTCGTTGTAGTGCTTCAATATATACTTACTGTGGTACATCTGTACAAATTATGGCTGCATCATTTTAGGTGTGTGTGTGTATGTGTGTGTGTGTGTGTGTGTGTTTAAAATAAATTTGTTTTAAATTCTCTAATACGAAGTTGAACTGCTCCGGTGGGCTAATGGTTAGAGCGTCCGCCTTGGATGCAAGAGGTCATGGATTTGATCCCCAGTCGAGTCATACCAAAGACTTACAAAATGGTACTAACAGCTGCCTCGCTTGGCGTTAAGCATTAAGGGATTAGTGTTAGGACTGGTCGGCCTGGTGTCAGGATCATGTGACTGGAAGAGACCTCATGCTAATTGTCTGCGGCATGATGTCCCAGTGCTAGACATCACTATAAACTGCCACACTTCAGACATCGTAGCGATGTGACTGACTTTGTTTTTAAAAGCTACTTTAAAAAATCATAATCACATTACATGACTAATACGCAGTTCTCTCAATCCACATTATGATATTCAGAACTGGTCTCATGAAAGACATATATATTATTTCTAAAGATTTCCTGTCAAGTTGGAACTCGAGTTTACGCGTTACGTTAATTCCTGACCATGCTTTTTTACATAATATAATCTATTTGTTTGTGCCTTAAGCAGCCATTTGAGAACAAAAATCCAAGATTTTTGTGGGCGTTAACATCCTTGATTCTTTGGTTGTGCATATACTGTGAGTATATACTGTGTTACAATGAATATGTCTTAATTTGATAAAGTTATCTCGATTTTTAGGCATGCACAGAAGAGATTACTGGGTGGGGGGCTTTTAAAAGAAGACGATAAAATGATATGTTAGATTTTAGTCTTAGATTTCGAGAGGTCCAGAGGCAG